CGCTGCTCTCTGCATTGATCATCTCGACACCTGAAGGCGTTACATATTTATTCAGCTTTTGCTCCAGTGACCAAAGTTCTGTGTCGGCCACTGCGGCGCGAGAACCAACTCTGTGTGTGATTCAGAACTGCAGAAGTATAGAACATCAAATAGTTTCAAAGGCAGTCACCGATAGCTCCATCTATACATATATGGATATACATATGTGCAGTATTTACACTGCAAAAAGTGATGGAATATGAGGTAAAAATGGCTTAAATGAAGTGTTTAATGTTTTTTTTAAATCTTATTTTGAGTACATTCTTAGTACAGTCTTAACCCATTAAAGGTTTCCTCAACTATTTGGCAGATCACACGGTTTTAGGCACTTTTCCCATCAAACTGCATCTCAACCATTTGGTAAAGGCCTATAATTAAAACAATTATGGGTTAAAAAATGAAAAAAAAAGACATACACAAAGTATACTACCTCATCTTAGAAAATGTATCCATCCATCCATTCATTTTCTTCCCCTTAATCCATTTCTGGGTTGGGGGGGTGGCAGTCAGATCTTTCAGCGGGGGCTTCAGGCAAAGTGGGGTTAAGGGTGCTTTCACACCTGTTGGTCCACTAAAGTGGTTCGCTTGGGCCCTAAAGTTGTTACAATGTTGCAGTTCTCAACGAGTTCGGTTCTCATTCACACCAGTGTTTTTGCAAATGAACCAACCACTGTAGATGTTACATATTCCGCCACCTATGTGGTGATGCTGTTTACAAAATACTGTGTACTGGATGACGTATGTTACTGTGCTACTCTGCGTTTTTTGGCTATTTTTTATCATCGTTGTTTTGTGCAGAACAAACACTGTTGTTCCAGTTCCAGTATGTATCGCGGATTCAGCACGAGAACAATCTGCGGGTGTTTTTGACGATTCTATCATATAAAAAAACAATTGTGTGTGTCAAAAAGTGAGCTACGCAACAGAGCAGGCCCATATTGAGCCCGGTCTGCGTTCTCACCAGCAGCGAACCAGACTGGAGTCCACATGGAACCGCACCGAGACCAGCTCCATATGGTGGTCTCGGTGCGGTTCTTTAGTCCGGACCAAATTTAACTGGTCCACTTTCACACCTGCTCAAACGAACCGTACTTGCAGGTGTTCCAGACTCCAGTCCGCTTTAAGTGGACTAAATGGTGCAGGTGTGAAAGCACCCTAAGTGTCTTGCCCAGGACACAACGACAGCAGTCATCATTGGGAGTCGCAAAGTAGGTTTTATGGTGGGCTCGAACCTACGACCTTCAGGCCCAAAGGCCAATGCTCTACCAACCGAGCCACTGTTGCCCCCCCTTAGAAAATTTAGAACAAGAAAACATTTCATTGCTTTCTCTAAGAAGTGAACATTAAAGGGTTAGAACAAGATTTGCCAATACATTTTGTCTCAGTTTCAGCTTTTGTGCGGCGGCTCAAAAAGATTGGGGAACACTGCTGTAGAATACCTTGCTTGCACGCTAGGTATTCTCTTTCGCGATCTCCTATTTTAGTAATCGACTAAAAATGACTATAAGGCCACTCAGTCAGAGCAAAGCAACCCACACAGCCTCCTTGCTTTGAATTTAAGCGTAATTTTGCCTTTTTCTGAATCCCATCTCTCCTTCATTACGTCTGGTTGTAAACAAGCATCAATCGAAACCCAGCAAATCACATCTTGTTAGTTTGGTAATAAGCAGTTCCACAACTTAATGTCCCCATTTCGCCTTTAGCATCCATCATGTAAGACGTTCTCCCGGCTCTATGGGGCCATCGAGGCAGATCCAGCCCGGGTCTGTCTGGGCGGTTTGTTTACACGTCTTGCGTTCCGTCTGCCATCAGCAAAAGTGCTTGATTTCCCCACACGGGTCAATTACGGCAAACGGGATGGAGCCTTCTCAGCGGGGAGCCTCGCGTTTTGCCTTTGAGTTAAAAGTGCCGTGCTGCATGAAAGAGCGAGCACGAGAGCCGGGCACGTCTGTGGGCGGGTTTTGGGAAATTTGCAAAAAATCGAAAGAAAGTTGTTTTGATTTTTAAGTACATGCTTTAAAGGAATTTTGAAGTTAAGTGTGGTACTAGAATGGAATAGATTTGTTGTTTATGGCCATTGAGTGTCGTGGGAAAAGAACTAGAATTTTCTCCACGATTAGACTTGAGCCAGACTGTTACTATTCTCTAAATATATACTCACTTTAACACACTTCACCTTTTGCGGCTTTCATAAACAACATCTCATGGGACATGTTACAACTACTGGTCTCTAGTCTTTCTCCCTGGACTCTCTCTGACCTCTCTCTGCTTTCTCTTTGGTTTCTCTTGTCTCTCTCAGGTCTTTCCCTGGTCTCTCTCTGGTCGCCCTCTGGTCTCTCTCAGGTCTCTCCCTGGTCTCTTGTCTCTTTCTCTTGTCTCTCTCACTGTTCTCTCTGGTCTCTAGCAAGTCTCCCTCTGGTCTTCCTGTAGCCCTCAGTCCTGCTTCCGCCCCGCAGTGTCTTCTGCAGCTGTACTTTGACAGTGTATGCACGGCTTTTGACAACTGCAGTAGCGCTCAGACCAACAGGTTTGATATGGTCTCTGGTCTCTCGCACTTCAGCAGTTGCGAGTCCAGATGGTTAGAAAAGTGTCTAAAGTGTGTGTGAGGTGTTTTGCTTATTGTGTGGTATTATTGAAACACAACCTTAGTGAGAAACATGAGACCACCATATCATATTCATGTCTGTCTTTACTTTCATCCTATTTCACCACTCTTCACGCAACATCCTCCCATCACTAAAACTTCCCTCTTTCCAGAAGCGAAACAGGCGAGGCCTTGTTTACACACCCACCGACCATCACCGTTTGTCAGTTTGTCCATACACTTCTCTCTCCGGGCCTCGTGCTCATCCAGAACCTGAGCCTTTTCCGATCGAGATATTCCATGTCCTCTACAGTAGATGTCCACGTGTCCCGCGGGGAATTCTCGGGACACGTCTCCAAATTTAATCTCACTGCTGTCACTGCCGGCTGCCCACGGACCCATAATGCGACCGAAATAGCCACTAGACAACAAATCCAGATGGGGAGGGAAGGGGGAGTGGGGGGGGGGGGACTTGGGTAAATTAACAATACGGCCTCATTAAATGCATGTTTGAGGCTATGGAGGAATCGTAGCAGTGTGAGTCAATGTTGTGGTGAATGGAATTGACAGAAGCATGTATGACGTGGGCCGTAGCCGCGGACTTAAATTAGATTTTTATGACTCCGGGGCAGTGAGCATTGATGGCTACGCTAGCTAGCTAAAATTGTTTGTAATGATGGTGTCTGTGCTGCTTTCTTTCTTTCTGTTCCAGGAGGTCGAAGAAGGAGCCTAACCACAAATAGAAAAATTAAGAAATGTGGAGGGAATTTTGATGAGAAAATGTGTGTTTTAAAACAGGGGAAGACTTCTTTATGTATAAATTGCCTTGAAAAGGGTGACCAGAGGTTTCTAACGGAATCCTGGGACAAGGCCTTTTAAAGCTGGGGTACTTAACTTTCTTATTTCAAACTTAAACAAACATTTTGTCCATAGGGGGCAGACGACCAAATGTAGAGGAGCCAATCATCTCTCAGCTTAAAGAGTCAAGTAGTGACTCCCAGGGCTTTTTCTTATGCCAAAGATGCCATGGTTTATCATGAAGTAAATCCAACATGCGTGGGTCTGATTTGGTCGCAATATTTCTGACTCTGAGCAATCCCAGCTTTAAAACTCCTGAATTATTATTAATATGAATATGAGAAATTTCTGATTTTGACTGTTTTCCTTCTCTAACAATGTCTTCACTATTTTGACTTTACACTTTTTATTATTTATTTTATTATTTATCATTTTTTCTTCCCACAATTTGTCAATGCCAACTTTGTATACATTATAATGGGAAGCTTTGCTTGTTGATGCTTCCAATGGTAGTTATTTCACATAATTTGTTATAATCTTTAGTCATTTAAATGGTAATAGTTCTAATGCAATGTTTAATAATACATTGTTTACATTACAGGTACGGTCCCTAAAATCACTTTGGTCACACTTCAGATTAGCCCTCAGTAAATAACAGATAATTAAGTGCTAATAAGTGAATAGTTTATGGTCAATTAGCCTTTAAATGGTGTTTATTAAGCACTTATTAGTCCTTATTCTACATGGCCTTTTTCAACATCTACTTCAATTACTACCTGAGACTTATCAATGTGGGTTAGACCTAGGGTTAAGGTCAGGATACGATAATTAGCATTTAATTATCTGTTAGTTGGTGAGAGCTGATGTAAACTGTTACCGGCACTTTTCGTCACATGATATGAATTTATTGTTGTGTTGTTTTGCAATGCTGTGTACTGTGTGTTCCACTGTTCCGAGTAGTCTACACCAAATATGAATTGTTTAGACACTTCTGACAACTTTGGGCCTCATTATGGTCCAATACGACGACACCCAAGAACTCGACAGTATAGTTAATATTCTTTACGACTATGAAATTGGCGGTACTGCAATGCTATACACAAATGTAGTAGCTTTCCTCCACCCCCCCGACCCCTTTTTTACTCCTTCTGTGGAAGTTGTTTTTGCTAACTCTTGTCTCTCTTACTTACTAACAATGCTTCCGAACGTATCCAATCTGATTGTTTTGTCATTGGTGATTTGCGTTCCCTTCTTTATGATTTCCCTGACTAACACTTTTTGTCATCCACGGAATGTCCGCCATCTTGAATTAACTTTGCGACCTACTAACCAATGTGTTATCCTTCTCTTTACTTTCTTCTTCAAGAGGACCCTTCCAAAAAAAATCTAAAACAGTTGCTTTCTTTATTTCTTTATTTGGATGCTCAAACAAACCAATCAATTTGAGCTGATTTTTTTCCCCCTCTGCCTTTTCCGGGAGGTGATTTTCTTTTCTTCTTTTTTTTGAGTTTTATTAAGGGTTATCTTTATTATATACTTATTTTTTTCTTTCCCCACTCCTTCCCCTTTCCTCCTAAAGCATGCAGGCATTGGACACGCTATGGTAAACAATCTGCATTATATGGTAGATATCATTCTAATTGTCTTATAGTTTGGTTTGCCCTGGGTTTTCCGTTACCTCGTTCTATTCTGTTTGCTTTACTCAATCTACAATCCGTCAAAGGTAGCTAAGAAACATCACCTCCGCTCTGTTCTTAAAGTTAATTGTTCTAATGTTTTGAGAAAATTTAATTGACGACTTATGACGAGGTCTACCCCAAACAAATCAACTTTTGGAATTATTTTTTTTTTCAGTTTTTTTTTTTTTCATCTTTCATTTTGTCCTTTTTTTCTACAAATCCGTATGAAGAAATAAAGAATAAAAATGCAAGATCTTTTCAAAGTTCTGTAACAAAGAAAGTTAGTCTTGTGTTGGCCCTGGTCCTTCTCGGCTCTTCCAGAAGCAGTGAAGCACACACAGCTGCTTTCCCAGACACTCATAACGTCCTGCTGGACTCTGGTGAGAAGGAGGCAAACAACGGCCCGGTCTGCGCAATATGCTTCTCAAAATATATGATTATGTTGAAATATGAAGGATGGGAAGAGACGGCCCATCAATGCAAAGCTATAGCGTTAGGGTGAGCTGTGTCATGAACTAATTTTCATCCCCTTTATTAATCTATTTCTACGTCAAAGGTGCGGCATTTAGAGCTACCCCCTGATGTTCATGCAGGGTCATGTACTGCAAGTGGCAAACAGGAAAAAAAATGTTGATCTTGTGAAAAAAGAAAAAAAAAAAGAATAAGTAATATTATCTTAAGTATCTGAAAAAAAGTCCAAAAACGGTGATTAGATAAATGCACTGAAATCACGGGAATTACTCTTGTCTATATTTTCACTTTTTGCACTGTGTGTCTTGCCCAGAGACACAACGACAGCAGACTTTGGTAGGAGCAGATTGAGGAAGTCTTGTGGGGGGGATCAAACCCACGACCATTAGTCCCCAAGGCTCTACCAGTTTAGCTACAGTCGCCCCGGGAGTTGTTGATCTGCTAATACTGCAGAGATTCAGACCGTTTAAACAAGATGCAACAATTAAAAAAATACATAAGATGTCCAAAAAGGTTGTGGAAATTCCTGGATCATCACCACTATCCTTAGACCCAACTGTAATTTTCCAGGTTTTAGCCGAAGTCAAAGTCCATTCACATTAAATCAGTCCATTCTCGGCCTTAACTCTAACGATGAAGCTAACCTGATTACACTTTCTACAAAAGAGCATACACTGTCCATGTCGAGCTCCCTGCTGAATCCCTTGCGTATCCGTGACGACCCTTTGCTCTCATCTATTCAAACACCATAAAAAAATCCAACTCTTATCTCCCCATGTCGGAGCTGCCGGCTTTTATGGGCTGAGCTGTTATCGTAGCCCGCGCCCTGAGATTCATGAACTCCCGGAGAATATTTACTGCTGCTGATTTACTGTTCAGAGCCCTGGTTGTAAAAGCCGGTCTCAATGAGGACCTGATCCCATTAGTGACTTTAATCTGATTTACGAGTGAGAAATACAGTGGTTGCACTTACTTTAAACTTCCCCCAGCTTTATTAATATGTGTTTTAATGCGCCAGCTGTGCCCTGGACCTTCCCCAACAAATTACAATGCTACAGATTCTCGTATAAGTTTGTATAAAATAAAACTGGTAGTAAAATTATAATTGCGGAGATATTGAACGCAAATGGAGAAAGTTAAATATGGGGTGATAGCGGAGGGCATAAACCGTGCCGCAAAGGTGCATTTGTGTTTAAAAAGCACAAGATATTATTGACGATAGGTTGCGTTCATGTTATGTAATTGTACTGCAGTTTTTCAAGCAGATGTCAATACAACTTCATGAGAAAGAAGACATTTATGATAGGAATGTCCAAATGTAGGCAGATAGATAGTTTATTGATCCCCCTAGGAAAACATTTGGTGTCCAAAAGCAAACAAATAAATTCATTCTAGACCGGTTTATGAGATAATAACGAGACCATAGTTCATATGTTCCGACAAAGAAGATGTGGAACAGGTTTTGTCTCATGTGGATTGGCCCTGGAGTTATATAAATATTGGGTCTAAACTAAAACTAGAATATACGTTTTTCAACTGCGCAACTCCACAATGTAAAACTCGAGGTTCTTTGGAACATTTTGATGCCACATGAAGGATATAATTAAAGTTATACACCAAATACTTGCCTCATATACGAGCACATGCACAGCACTACTCACAGGGTCATAAAGAGGCTTTGTCAATTGTATTATTCATTAATTTGCTCCCACTTATCTCTGCTGCCGTTGTGTCCTTGGGCAAGACACCTAACCCCACATTGCCTGAAGCCCCAGCTGAAGCATCAAGGCTGTATCATCACTGACAAGAGCAGCCATCCTCCTGTGGATTCACCACCTGCAGGAGGATCAGCGAGTTGCTGGGGCTCAGTGAATTGGGTGCAGCTCTGACTACCCCCCCCCCCCCCCCCCTCCCCCCCGACCCGGAAATGGACTAAAGAGAAGAAGATGGATGGATGGATGGATTTATTTTATGCAGCCTTCCCACACAACAACACTGTCCCACTGTAACAGTTGGAATCACCTGCCATCTCCCATCACGCTACTAACTACTAAAAAGTCTGATCACCGTAACAATTCTCTGATTCTTTGATGTGCAGTAGACAAAAGGGCTCCCACCCACTCCCTTTAAACCTCATAGTAACTTGATGCAGGGCGACGCAGAGTGCGATAAATAGACTCCTACTATTTCATTGAAGTCAAAAGTTCAAAAACGACTTCTCTGATCACTGGTGTTGCTTGTTCTCACTGGACTGAATATCCTTGAGCGTCTGGGAGAGTCTGAAGCTGTGCGTACTCACTCCCACTAACACTGACATATGTATATAATCTACTTTACTGCATGTCCCCAATTTTACCCACATTGAGTATATATGTTATGTGTATATCCTGGCTAACGTATACACATACATATATAAATTGTCCGAAAAAAGAACCCAATACTAGTCATGGAACATGTTAGCCAAACCCTTGATGTTTTCGATTTTGATTATTTTATTTTGAGTTATTCTTTGTTTATTTGATTTTAATTAACCTACTAAAATGAGTAATGACCTCGACTAATCTTACTAAAACCCAAGGGGAAAACGCCAAGAGAGGAAATCAAACTTTTCGTGGTGAGTTGAGCAATTTTAGTCTGACTTTTGATTCCAGAAATTGTCCAAACTTTCGTAAAATTTACAAAAACAAACCAATCTTGACTGCTGTGTTAAGTTGATAAGTTTAGCCAAACAAGAAATTGCTCTAATTACCGCAAAGACCTTTTTCTCTCGCTTTTCCACATTCTTTAAAAAAACCTCTCATACATGTCTTACATAATTTGTGATTGGTGACATGGAACCCATCCAAAGTCAACCTCCGAATCAAAATCATGCACGGTTTTTTCAACGTCTATTGTCCTTTTTGTTCATTTAAACTTTGCAACTGTTTGCCATTTGAACCTCTCTCTGCTTTTCTGCATCCCTGCCCTTGGATTTCCCATTCCTTCGTTGGTCCATTTGTGTCGTCACTATTGTGAATCCCATGTTGTGTATTTCCTGGTTTACCTCATTGTGTTGCATGGCTTGCGAGTGCGTGTACGTGTTTGTATACTTTCGTCACCCTGGATGGATTCATTTTGTTTGACCAAAAACAAACCTTTGCCACTTTGAGATATCCGATCTGATCAAATTGCAGAGGAATTTTAAAGAATCCTCACATTTTCCTTCCACCAAATTTACTAATAACTAATATATTTGTTGTAACTGTACTAACAACCATTTTTGTGTCTGACTTTTTCCCCTTACTTACAAAAATACTAACCGATTTTGTTCACCTTCTAACCCTATTAATTATTTTTGGAATACTACTAAAAAAAAATCCCTCTTGTTTATGCATTCTAAGGCACTTTCTCAAATTGATCGGCTTTCTGCATGTACGAGGTTGTTAGCGTAAACGGCTACGAAATTGACAGCTGCCAGACATCTATCAAAGTCTCTTAAATGTTGTAATTGATGGAGCAGATTCAATCACTGTTGGCGTTTTTCCACGGTTAGCACCAGATTCTGGCCCACACTCAGTCTGAGTTTTATTATGCATCCGGTTTTCAGATTTTGGTTTGGTTTTTCATGGTATAATCTTCACTGAATCCAACCAACAGGTCTCATTGAATTAAGTAATTACCCATTATTTCAAAATATTTTTCCTGGTTTAAGGTTCCCAATTAAAAACTGCTAATCTTATCTACTTGTCATAGCTTGTTCAAATGGCAATCTTTATCCAATCAAGTTTTTTCGTAAAAAAAAATCTTGCTTCTCCCAGTCAGGATCTTGGTCAGTAATCGTATCAACAAAGGTAAGTTTCAACTGTCAGATTTTGCTTTTCTAGATTAAGTAACATTCTCTATAAAATTCATCAATATTGTTTTAATATTTTGCTAAAAAAGGATTCAAAGTGTTTCCCGGGTTGGCCTATGTTTTTAGATTTACTGGGTCAAAACTTCTCTAATTCTCACCAAAATTAGGATTTGATGCATAACTGTTGTCTTGCCCAATTTTCTCCCAAAACTTTTAAGGTTACTGCTAAACAAAACTACAATCTATATGTAAAACCTGTGTCGTTCCATCACAAAAGTCTAGATCTGTCGCAGGCACTTAAAGGTACCTCCTTGACTCAAAACTGCTGACAAAAGTAGTAGAAAAGTCAGTAACTCAAATGTCGAATGCCTTTGGGGACAACATTGGAAGCGTGATCTATTTTAGGAAGTGAAGGAGACAGTGCACCCGGAGAGCAAGGGAAATTGCTCCAAAGCTCTTCTCGAAACTTGGCGGAATATAGCTTCAAAATACCATAAAGTGTAAAATTCGTTTTATATTGGATATTGGAGGACACAGGATTTTGGATTGTTGCCTTGATACCTCACAATGTCCTGGTCGAGAGAAAAAAAGAAAAAGGAAAAAAGGATGGCCCCATTTTAGAACACGTCTCCAGGGAGTGCTCAGAATGTAATGTGAAATCCATGCTCCTCCCCAATTCGACTTTTGGAAATTATAACCCAGTCAGCATAGAAGTTCTTCTTTTCCTGCCGTCAGAAGCCAATTTCTTTGAGAGACGACATACTTTTGCTATACAGAATATGAACATAGGAAAGATTCTGTTGTGGAAAACGATAATGCATTGTTTTATTAAAGGACGAAGAAACACCTGTGTCCAGCCGTACTCCGCCCACATGAACATATGAACATTTTCTCTAAAAAGGGCATTGCGCCGGGGACCAGGGGACAAGAAGGGGGGCTTAGAGTTGGACGTAGTCTGGGCTGATATTGACAGCTCACTTGTCATTCACAGCCCAGAAAGCAATAGTTTACACACCAGAAAGTCTCATTCTGTGGCTTAGGTTCGGGTGTGTAGCTCTACGCACCCGAACCTAAGCCACAGAATTATCTCAGCAGTATTCTCGGCCAACTGATGTAATTTAATTATAAACCACTAGATGTGGCCAGAAGACTCGCAACTCGCTGCTGGGGCGTGTGTAAGACTTGGAATGGTTTCGTATCACTGGCGCAGAGTAACTTCACACAGTACTCCAGAGCCAAGGGAGAAATACAAATGTAAATACAAATGTAGTGCCACCATAAATGTAGAGAGGGCGCCACAAAAATGGTTTAAGGCTCAAAAGTAAGATATTATCTAACTTGCACTAAAAGGTCAAAGAAAAAAACCAGGACATTTAGAGTGCACTATAAGAAACGTATTTATGCAGTTTATGAGTTACAAAAAGAAAGTTGCTTTGGTGGTGTGTTGTCCTTTAAGAACTTTCTAATTAATGTGATGATAATGTACTTTTTATAGCCCAACATACATACAACAGTAGTTATTTCAGACAACTTTTCAAAGCATTTTTAATCGCCAATATAGATCACAGAATCAAACACAGGAAATGCAAGATGGCAGATCACCAATATCCACAAACAACAAACAAATGTTTATCCCGTTGAATGTCGAGTGTCTTGGATGATCACCACTGACCTTAGACCCTCCTGCATCGGCAAAAGAAAAACATCTTAAAAACCCAGTGGGATAAAAGTGAGAAACCTCAGGGAGACCCATTCATTCAGACAATAATCACTTAAGCATTTCAAGATTCAAGCAATTCTCTACAGATGCTACTGTATAGGATAGGATACATGTGCAGTGTTGGTTGGCTGGTTTTTCAGGTTACGCGAAAAAAGTCAAATAGTCACATGACCCCAAAACAAAGCAAAGTCAAAGTTATACATTAAAGTAGGTTATTGGTTAAAAGAGATGCAATGGGGATTCAGTGTTTAAACTGGGTCATGGTGTTGTGTTAAATTCTAGGGACATATAAAGATACAAGTGGGACATCCCCTTTCGTCGATCTCTCTCGGCAAGATGACTTCAGTTACTTTCATATTCTAAAAGTCAACCATCATTGAACTCTTCTTAGCTTTGTATTTTCTTCCATCCTTGCCCAGTAATGAACAGAAACCCAGTCTGCCCCGGAGCGATTTTCTTTCCCTTCGCCACACGCACTGGACGCAAAGGTGATTCATTGAAGCTCGAATGTTGAAAAGGGAATGAAAAACGTACTTTTTTTGTTGTGAATGCAAACTTCATAGGTGTCTGGCAGCTTTTCATTGCTGTTTCTGTGCTTGTAAGCCCTAGCGTAGCTTATCAAACATTAAGCAAGAGAATAGCAACACCCCTTGCTCGGTAAGAAATGGAAAACTGTGCAAAAGACTGTAACGTCCGCAAGGTTTTTGTCAAGTCATTTATATTTTACGACGTGGTCCAACGTTGAGCAGAAGTCCCCCACCCACCTGTACAGCCCTGGTAGATCCTTCAAAAACCTTAATTGCTTAGGTGCTGACGGCTCGATTTCTCAACACGATTCAATGACAGACATAAAAATGAGTTGCCCTTTCAATGAGGGAAGTACGGCGAAAAAAGGAGGAAAGTTTGCTCGGCTGAGGTGGGTTTTGCTGTCGAGTGCAGTTGCTGAGGTAGAGATTGTAACTAGGAGTTGAGCAGTTTTAGAGTTGAGCAAAAGAACAAAGTTTATTGAATTGTGTCAGGTTAAATTAGTAAGTATTGTTGTGGTCAAAAACAAAAATCTCATGTTTTGGATAGTGATCCGACTAGAGCGACATCTCTATGTTGTAATATCGCATTTACTGATATTTCAAGTTATTAAGAAATATTATGTTTTTTCCAACTATTCTAATGATTCATAACTTAATAAAAACTGGACACAAATATTGATATATTTCTCGGGCATAGCGCATGGGATGACTTAAAAACTTTTACATGGACTTAGAGTGGGATTGAAAGTTTGACACACTCTTGTAGATTATTGTGACAAATAAAAGGTAAACTAACATTCTTAACCAAAAATCTTAACAAACAATGCTAATTTAAAGCTGCACTGATTTAGCATCGGACTAGGAACAGAATACAGCCTTTACTAACCAATTATGCAGTGTCCTCGAGCTACGGAAGCCATATGTTAAGATTCAAAAGTCTATTTATAAAGGAACGCAAAGAAACATTAGATGAAACTACATCTATAATCTTGTAACTACTGAACATGTATGCATATTTTATATTGTCTGTTTTGCTAGCACTCTACACTTTGCCTCTGGGCTGCATTTGGAAACTAGCTGTGTTGCTAATGCTATGTCGCTAATACCGGTACATTCACGCTTATTAATGTGTACTGTCCCTTTACAAATAAACGAATAAAATACACATTAAGAATTGGCCTTTCTGGACAATGTTTTACTGCAGATTATTATACTTTAGCGTTTAGCACTAATCCTGTGGTATAATAGACTTTCACAACACAAACGGCAAGTGACTTATATGTGATTTGTGATGTAGCATGCTGTAATTTAACACACAATTAAAACAGTTTTGTGGTTTAGCTGAGTATCCAATCAGTGCGCAAAATAAGGCTCTCATCAGGGCCTCGGCAAGAGGAAGTGCATCGGTGATTAGCTAGTCCCCTGTTTACAGCGTAATTCTTAACAACTCACATTTATGATTGTGTCGACAAATGAGACCGAGTGTTTTAGAAAGAATGTGAGGTGTTAAAAATATTAAGCTAGTCTAAACAAGATTGCTATGATAGATACACAGCCACCTTAACAAGCTGACCCCTTGAATAGTGTGTCTTGTGTTTATTCTAAGTCCGATTTGTGAAGGCCATCGTCCACGACTGTGTAACTCAGCCATTCCCAAAGTCAGTAATGCCGCGGCCCCCTTAAAAATCTGACGGGTCTGCGCGGCCCCCCGAAATACTAACCAAGAAGACAACGTTAAAAATAGACTCTTCTCGTTATTTTATTTGGGGGAAATAGGCTCTGCTACAAATATGGAAATGACGCATCCCATTTTGTTATACAAAAAATCTTACAATTTGATTATTCAAGTCAAATAATGAACACAAATATTTTAATATTACAAACAAAATATAATTTATTTAACAAACAATAATTATGTAAAACCCCCTCTGCAATACCCTTGTGGCCCACCAGGGGGCCGCGGACCCCACTTTGGGAGACACCGGTGTAACTGTAGTATTGCTAGTTTCCAATACTAAGAGTGTAGATTCTGTGCATTTAAATGATAACACCTGTCTTCCAACCGTAAAATTACGCTGGCTTACTTCCGCTAGTAGCACCAGATGGGAGGTACTTGTCCATGTGGTCTCCCTTCTACTGGCTTTAACAGAAAATGTACACATATATATTTGGGAAGATAAATGGTGGTCTGAATCAGCTTGTTTGGTTCACTTCAGAATCAAATGTGACAGACCTTGTAAGATCACTAATATGCAAATCAGCAGACCAGGCCGTATTTCTCTGGGCCATCGCGTCCCAATAACAAACAAAAAAACTTAATTTCTCGCTAAGTTCCAAGAGTCCAGTTCATTTGCACTTTTTTGATCATGCCCTAATACTTATAAAGAACATAGAGCTCCAGACTGTAATGTCTCCCAATGCTACATCCTGGGGAAATGATTTAGAAGCAAGTTTGTGTGTGCAGAGCTAACACCCAAGCCACCATTAGCAAAATTAGCCCATAAATTTGGACGCTAACACCCCCCAGCTTTCCCAATGCTACCTGCCAGATCTGTTAAGACGCTCGGCTGGCGCACTTAGCGACCGCAATGACGGCAAATGTAACCGTGATTTAATACAATTAGCCGGATTAGGTCTCGTTAGCGCTCTCAGCAGATATAGCAATTTGTGTTATTGTTGAAAGAAAGGCTGGAGAGACGATGCGCGGCGGTAATGGAAAGACGTGATTACAATGTTTACTTATCAGGCAGCTCGAAAAGTATTTTAAATGTACTTTCAATTCATCTTTGTATACAGCTTTTTAGAAGTTTTGATTTCCCTTAATCAAGTTGCAGAAGACGCAATAGTAGTTAAGCATTAATGTAGCTTGAACGCGGGGACAGCTATTGACATTGCGGCTAGATTAAATTTGCTTTTCTAGGGGTAAGAAATGGAAAAGTCAGTTTTAGTTTGCTTCCTACTTAGCAACTGCACTCAAGAGCCAGAACCCCTCAGCCGACCGGCCGGGACAAGAAAACAACACAATTAGTCGGCCATTTTTTGAGACATTTTGATGAATTCTAATATATGTTTCTTCTCTTTCCTCTCCTCATTCTCTATAATTTCTTCCCACTGCACCTGCCTCTCCCGGTCTTTTCCCGCGGGGCTATGGTGGTTGTAGGTGACCATTTCGGTGGATGGTATACTGACCACCACGGGCTACACCCAGGAGGACTACACCATGCTGGGCTCCGACGACTTCTTCTACATCGGAGGGAGTCCCAACACGGCCGATCTGCCGGGGTCGCCGGTTAGCAACAACTTCATGGGCTGCCTCAAGGACGTAAGTGCTTTTTTAAATGTCTTTTGGCGATCAGAGGCAATATCTTTTAAGAATATTAAGGGCGTTCGATGTCAGTCCAAACATCATGATGACCTTTTACCATGCCTTTATTGAGAGTGTTCATTTTCATGTGTTTTGCTGGTTTTACTCTGTCACAACATTTACAAAGAAGCGGACTACAGTGACTATTCTTGGACATCTGTCATTTGTGGCCATAACCTACAAAGTTAAATCCTGTCAGATCTCTGAAGCTAAGCAGGGTAGGGCCTGGTTAGAACTGTGATGTTAGACCTCTGGGAACACCAGGAGCCACAGTGGGGCGGCTGCGGCTGTAATGTGCTTGCTTTTTGTTGCATGTGTTTGCGGGTTTTACTCTGTCACTGCACAAAACAGGGCTCAGTTAATCAGAGTTACAAATGTCTGCTCTAAGACGATTGGCCAGCAGGTCTGATTCTTCCTGCCCTGTGTGATCAGCAGGCAATGAGAGTGGCCTGCAGGATTCTGGGAGACCCTGCTCATGTTCTCTTCCCTGTGTTTGAGTGGCTGCCTTCAGGGAGGAGGCTGCGCTCGGTGGGATGTAGGACGCAGCAGAGAAAATCCACTTTTGTTCCAACAGTGATTTAGCTGCTGAACTCGGACCCGTCATTACCCCAGCGCAGTGTTAAAACGCTCCAAACATTTACTTAAACAGGATGTGGGTGTGTGTATGTATTTGTGTGTTATTTATTGAGCTTTTTAGCATGTCACTTGTAACTCTCCGTGCTTTTTAAATGCCCCTTGGGGAAAAATAGTGATTGATTGATTTCTTTGCTTCTTGGTTGACCACGATTGTGCGTTGTTTTAAATGTATAGAATTATGTCTCTTTATGTTTGTGGATTTGACGTAGTGCTGGGAAAAAATATATATTCTGTTCAGTTTTGTGATATTTATATATATTAAAATGGCTTCCTACTACTACCACCACTACTACTACAACTACTAATACTACGATGACTACAATTACTAATACTACTATTACCACCAATACCAATAATACTAATACTATTACTAATACTACCACATGACTCTGATCAGCTGTTATTAAATGTTTTTACTTTTGATTCATAAAAACATGTTAATTCTGCAAATGACCACTTCCAAAACTCCTTCCGGTTCCTTCCCTTTGTTCCCAACTCTCTAAATATTCAATGCACAGTTTTTGGACCAAAATAGGTCAAATCTGTAAACTCAGTAACTCAGAACCAAATAGTGCTCACGGGACGCTCTGGCATTTCCACCTCACTGTGATGAAGGAGCAGGACCTGAGACAGAAATGTGCCTCTTTAATTAGGTTAGAATCATTTATGATTTATAAAGTTTATCTGTTAAATTCAATGTATTTTTGTAAAGAACTAAATCACAACAGTAGAAAGAATCAAGTGTGTTTCTTTAACTTTGTCGACTAAAGTTTGGTGTGAAAATTAAATGACAAAGTCACACTTGTCTGGCACAGTTTTAATGAATCTGAGGCTGAGATCCAAGAAGAGGCGACGATTACAAACAGAGGTGCACTACTCCTCAGATAACTCTAAAGTCACAGATACTGTAACTCTAAAGTCTCAGATAACTCTAAAGTTACAGATAACTCTAAAGTCACAGATAACTCTAAAGTCACAGATAACTCTAAAGTCACAGATTCTCAGATATCTCTAAAGTCACAGATAACTCTAAAGTCTCAGATAACTCTAAAGTCACAGATAACTCTAAAGTCACAGATAACTCTAAAGTCACAGATTCTCAGATATCTCTAAAGTCACAGATAACTGTAAAGTCTCAGATAACTCTAAAGTCACAGATAACTCTAAAGTCACAGATAACTCTAAAGTCTCAGATATCTCTAAAGTCACAGATAACTCTAAAGTCTCAGATAACTCTAAAGTCTCAGATAACTCTAAAGTCACTGATAACTCTAAAGTCACTGATAACTCTAAAGTCTTAGATAACTCTAAAGTCTCAGATAACTCTAAAGTCACTGATAACTCTAAAGTCACTGATAACTCTAAAGTCTAAGATAACTCTAAAGTCTCAGATAACTCTAAAGTCACAGATAACTCTAAAGTCACAGATAACTCTAAAGTCTCAGATAACTCTAAAGTCACAGATAACTCTAAAGTCACTGATAACTCTAAAGTCTCAGATAACTCTAAAGTCTCAGATAACTCTAAAGTCTCAGATAACTCTAAAGTCACAGATAACTCTAAAGTCACAGATAACTGTAAAGTCACTGATAACTCTAAAGTCTCAGATAACTCTAAAGTCTCAGATAACTCTAAAGTCTCAGATAACTCTAAAGTCACAGATAACTGTAAAGTCACAGATAACTCTAAAGTCTCAGATAACTCTAAAGTCTCAGATAACTCTAAAGTCATAGATAACTCTAAAGTCACAGATAACTCTAAAGTCACAGATAACTGTAAAGTCACAGATAACTCTAAAGTCACAGATAACTCTAAAGTCACTGATAACCCCCTTTCTCTCTCTCTCTCTCTCTCTCTCTCTCTCTCCTCTCTCTAGAAGCAAGCTAGAGTGCTAGAGCAGCGGCACGGTGGCTGAGTGGATAGCACTCACGCCTCTCAGCAAGAAGGTCCTGGGTTCGAATCCCGGCCGGACCAGGGCCTTTCTGAGTGGAGTTTGCATGTTCTCCCCGTGTCTGCGTAGGTTTCCTCCGGGTACTCCGGTTTCCCCTACCACTAAAAATATGTATAATAGGATTGGCATGCGCCTCTTGTTCGGCGACCCCGCTCCCATCTCTCTGTGGAGTGAGAGGACAAGTGCCCAAAAATAACAATTGTAAACCGCTTTGTGACTCTGGTCTGTGAAAGGCGGTATATAAATAAAGATTACTTACTTACTTACTCTCTCTCCTCTTTCCTTTCTCCCTCCTCTTCCTTTCCTTCCTCTCCTATTTTCTCTCTTTCCTCTCTTCTCTCTCCTCACCTGTCGTCCCCTCTCCTCCCTCACTCCTGTTTCCTCTTCTCCTCTCTCTCATCTCCTCTCTCTTCACCTCTGCCTCCCCCCTCTCTCTCTCTCTCTCCTCTCTCCCCCTCTCTCTCTCTCCCTCTCTCTCTCCCCCTCTCCTCATACACACCCGCAGTAGAACAAAGTGCTCTACAGGAGGGAGCAGTGGGAGCAGACGGCATCTTTCATCCTCTCTCCAGTTCAGTGACTTGCTCAGGATTATCAACGGCTCTTCGGTCTCAGGGCTCGGGTTTTCATGCCGCCACCGAGTGCTTTTGATGCGCCCGGTCGCTCGCCGATCCCCCTCTGGTTCTCCAGAAACGGAGAGAGGACAAACATGTGTGAGGAAAGCAGAGGTGGAGGTGGAGCTGGTGTGATGAAAGAATAGAAGAGGAGAGGAAGAGAGATGGAGAGGGAGGAGGATAGAAGAGAGAGGAGGAGAGATGGAGGGGAGAGGGAGGAGGATGGAAGAGGAGGGGAGGGATGGAGAGGAGGAGAGATGGAGGGGAGACAGGAGGGGAGGGATGGAGAGGAGAGAGGGAGGAGGAGAGACAGGAGAGAGAGAGGATAGAAGAGGAGATGGAGAGGATAGAAGAGTAGGGGACACAGGGAGGAGGAGAGTGAGGATAGAAGAGGAGAGACAGGAGAGATGGAGAGGGGAGGAGAGAGCCAGGACCTTCTTGCTGGGAAACTTCTGTCAGTGTACCCAGGGCAGCTGTGGCTACAGGAGAAGTTTATCACCACTGTGTTTGTAGTGAGAGAAGAATGACACGTGAAGCGTCTTTAAGCGTCCTGAAAAAGCAATATATAGAAACAATTCATTTATTTTATTTTATTTTATTTTATTCTTTATTTAAAACACATAATGACAAACTAAATATTCTCAAGATCATATTGGAGTTTAGTGAGACCTTCTGGTGACCTGTGTGTGATGTCGAGCTGGCTGCTTCAAAGTTCACAGCGTGTGTGTGTGTGAGGTTTTTGTGCATCTGTGTGTGTGAGGTGTGCGTGTGTGTCTCAGTGTATGTGTATGCTTGTGTGTGTGTATCTGCGTGCGCGTGTGTCAGTGTATGTGTATGCTTGTATGTCTCAGTGTGTGTGTCTCAGGGCTCCGGGCCACACTTGTTGGGTGTGAAAGCGTGAGCACAGAGCATCTGTTTGATCCCGGCTGCGGAGGGAAAAGAAACCAAAACCGAGAAGAAAGATGTGACACTGGTGGATATAAGTGTGTAACTTATGAGTTTTTACGTCTTTATTATTTGAATACAATCTGTTTTGCAACTGAAATAATTAGTCTTGTCAGTTGAATGGATGTTTTCATTATAGTCCCACAGTAGAGAGATTCCAGAAACGTGTTATTAGCGGCCTAGCAAGCTTTGTAGTTCTTTCACCTGCTGCTGCAACAACATAACATTAAAAAACTACAACTGCACTTTTACAGAGAATTAAATAGATAAATGTTGAGGTTCATCTAATTTTCATTGTGTAAAAACTTATTTAACCATTTATTATGAATGATTAACTTCTCTATTTTACATTTGGACTCAGACACACACAGAAATAAGAAAATGTGTCCAAGTTTCCTCAGACTGTTTCAGATATCCAATAAAAACTTTTTTTGATAGAATAAAGAGCTACCACCACCACCAATTTATTCAATTCAATTTATTGTTGTATATTTCCAGAGTCGAAAATCACGAAACTCTCTGAATCACAATGTTAAGAATCACAATATTATTGAATTGTGGCCAAACATATCGCACCACTAAAGCAGATCACACACTCTCACACATCCTCCACACCATGGCCCTCTCCCCCCTGCCTGTCTCCTCCTGTTTACCCTTTCCCCCCTGTTTCCCCTCGTTTGACCTCTCCCCCCTGCCCATCTCCCCTCTGTCTCCCCCGTTTGGTCCTTTTTCCCTCTGTCTCCCCTCATTTGGCCCTCTTCCCTCTGTCTCCCCTTTTTTGGTCCTCTCTCCCCTGTCCCCGTCTCTTTCCCCCT